ATCTGGACCACGCTGAGCACATGTGCCCCAAGCAATGACAGATTTCTGAGATGAAACCAATCTTCTCTGAATAACAGTCTTTAAGGCTACTTACTGGTTTTTCCCTTTTAGGCTTTATTTAATCCAAGGTCTTCCCGTTTGGAAGATGAGGACTCAGCTGCTTTCTTTCCCATCACACACACACACACACACACACACACACACTCTTCCCATCCCATCTTTCCAGTATTTTTTTTAAAGACCAATATGGAGTCTTTATTGTGTCTTTAATGGTATTCACATTTGAGCCAACTAGCTGTGATTTCTTTACATTTTAATCTCTGAAGTATATCAGAGATGGAGAACCTTCCTTTTGTGAGCTACAGAGGTGAGGGTAGGGTGGTCCAGCTCATTAGACAATTGTAATGACAAAAAATAGAGTAGAAAACGCCCAAGACTCCTCCACATCCCTTCTCAGTCCCTCTAGGTTACCGTTGCTGTGGTGCCGCCACCTAGTGGTCACATTACAAACTGCACGTCCTAATAGTGTCTAAATTTATTCCACCTCAGGGTGACTCCTAGGGACAGAACCAGGAACCGTCAGTATTAAATGAAAATGCAGGGCTTTGTTTAAAAGTCATTAAGAATTTCAGGATGGCGAAAGTAGATCATTAAACCTACCAAAGACCCTTCTAAATGACTCACAGATTGTGAGCCCATGAGCCAGCCCTCCCAAAGAGAAAATGGATGAGTTCATTCTCCAAGGCAATTCCACGCCAAATTAAAGTCATAAAAAACTACAGACCTACAGTTAATGTCATGCTTAATGGTGAAAACTTAGGCTCTCCTGTAAAGATGAACAAAACAGCAAGTTTTCCAAATGCCTTAGTAAGACATGTGGGCTCTGAAGGGTAGAAGTGGATGCTGCTGACGTTGATGCTCTAAGGCAGTGACGTCAGCGATGACAGTGACACCAGTGACAGGCTCAGCTCTAGGATCAGCAGTTTAAGCAAAGCATGAGCTGTAGGACCATCCATATTTGTGACAATTCAGGGATCTGCCACATCGATGAGGCTTCTATGTTTCCAATAGTCTGGGCCATGCTGGACGTACCTCCGGAGTGTAGAACAAGTACCTCCATCTAGTCCATGTTAGAGAATGAAAGGTGCTTTGTGAAGCCTCTGGGAGACCTAACAAGAGAATGACATGCAGACTCCTAGGGTTTAGAGCAAGGCCACGCCTTCTGCAGCAATAGAACAACATTCCTGACCGGTTTCCGGGCCTCAGGAGAGATGGAGAGTCTGAACGTGGGCTGTAATGTGACCAGGTAGCCAGAACTCCTCATCGTGGCCTGGGCTCTATCACACCCATAAGGTCAGGAAGGGAGAGCAGCATCCACCACAGATGGAAGTGACACATGCCGGATTAGACAAGGACAGGTGGCCCAGACCATTGGCACCTGCCCCTCCAGCACTGTGACCTGTCCCAGAGCCCTCACCTGTGGATTCACAGGAAGTTCACTCTGACGAGTCAACAAAGAAGGAAAAGGCTGTGCTCACTCCCAGCTCATCCTGGCCCTCAATCCCCCTCCCACACCCTCAGCCTCTCCCTTGCGTGTCCCCAGGCTCCCAGTCAGACTTACTGACACACAAATCCCCTGGGACGTGGCTAACTTGTTGACTCAGCTGGGGCACATCTTTGGAAACGGGCGTGAGATTTGGCTTTTGAAGGCTCTCCCAGGCCATGTGGACACTGCTGCCCCAGACCACACTTTGAGAGCCATTTGCGCATGTCTACTGGTTGGAACCGGAGACAGGACTCCTCTAGCCCTCAATTTGGTCCCCACCCGCAAGCCAGCCCTGCATTCCCCACCTTCTCAGGCTCCATTCCAACCCCTTTTCTAGTCTAACTACCCCGGGCTCCAATCCCTTCCTGACTCAAATCCCCAAACTCCCTGGGCTGCTGTTCTGTGTTCGTGGTGTCTGCGTCCTACAACCCCTCATCGCGCTCCAGACTCCTAGCTCCCCACACGGGGCTCATGTCCTTCTCCCCTTTGTTCCCTCTCTCATGTCCCCTGCCAGCCTGGACATCTGCTGCTTCCTCTTGGTAGTGCAGGTCAGGGCACTAAGCTGCATCTTCAAGAACCTAGTCCTTTCCCCCATCCCTGTGTCTCACCCTCACGCCCACCCAAGTCTGGGAGAATGGCACCCAGCTCACCAGCTCCGGTGGCTCTTCCCTCAACAGGTAGGTCAGCTCTTCATTCATATTTCTTAGCCTCATCCTGAGGCCCCACAAAAGAGTTCTCCATGGCACCTTTAGCTCCCCTTGAACCCATATAATGCTTAACACCTCCAAAACCCACAGGCTTTATCATTTCTCATCCGGACTCTGAGCAGACCCCATCCCTCCAAGGCCGCCCTCTATGCCCACCTCTGCTTACCCACAAGCAGCCTCTGGTGAGTCTCCCAGGATTTCAGCCAAATACCCCCGAGGCCACAAGGAGCAGGAAGAAAACAGAACCAGACGAGAAATTTATTTCCAATTCCCAGGTTTTGGTTGGGAACACTCTAAGGACAGGCACGTGGAATTTGTAAAAACAACAAAGAAATCAAAGAACGAGGACACAGATGTCTGGCCTGAGCTCCAGGTCACAAAGGTCTGGAAACAAGGTCGTCCAGTGCAGGCCCGCGGGTGGCCGACATGACCGGGACCTGCATGTTTGTTTGCGTTTTTGAGTTTCGTGACAGAAAATCTTTACAAACCTTTGTGAGCTGGCTGTTTGAACGTGCATTGAAAATCATGTGGAACGAGAACACTGTTGATGGGGGGTTGCGGCAGAGGTGGTCCTTGCATGCGGACACGTCTCTCAGAGTCCGGAACAAGGCTTCTCTGAGCCATCCTGGGTCCCAGAAGGATCTGGGCAGTCAGGTCATCTCCTGCTATGGAAGCCAAGGCAGAAGGGAGACAGAAAAATTGGAAACACTTATTTGGAGGTTTGCAGTCAGATAAGGAAAGAAATGGGAAGATTAGAAAATAAGGTAAGAGTTACACTGTGAGCAAGATGACAGGATCAGCTCCTTACTGTAGGCGATGTCAGAGTAAGTCATGTGTCAGACTAATTTAAGGAGGCAAGGAGGTCTGTATGCAAGACCATGCAGTAGGGCTTTGAGACTGAACTCAACACCTCTGACACAAGAGGTTGGGGTGATTTTAAGAGCAGGAGAAGGAATCATAGGCACCTGTGTTTGCTCATTGGCTCTACACAGAAGAAAAATGAAGCATCTCATGATATCCTAACAGGAGGTCGTTTTACATCTTGGTTGCTAAAGTTCCCCATACAAATGGGCTCCTGCCCTCCCTCACAGGCTGGGACACAGAGACACCAGGAGGATTACATTTCACAAGGATGGGGCTTGGCCCTTGAGATAGATGTTCTCTGGGTCATACCACTGCTAACAAGCTTTGAAGGAGACTTATGTGTATTTCAAAAAGGCAGAGAACCAATATGCAATTGCAAACTGCAATTATATTTGTAAAGAAAATGCTGTAAGAAAGAAAGAAAGAAAGAAAGAAAGAAAGAAAGAAAGAAAGAAAGAAAGAAAGAAAGAAAGAAAGAAAGAAGCCTGTAGTCAGGAACATCCTGTGTAGAGGTGAGTGACTCTGAGGGAACATGAAGGCCCCCAGGTCATCACAAAACTGCTTTCTGCGCAGTGGAGGGAAACACAGCTAAATCCTTTCTGCCAACACCCAGTTTCATTTCCCTCCTTCCTTCAATTTATAAACAGGTGCCCATTCCCAGCCGTTTATAAACAGGTACAAAATAGCTGAGAGACCATAAAGAGGGCCAGGATCTGATCTCCAAGAAGGTTGTTTTTCATGGAGACATTACAGCTCTCTCTATAGTCACCATCCCTTGATCAAACGTCTTCTCCAAGGAAGAAGAGGATTCTCGATCTTACAACATAGCTGGTGTCCTTATACAAAAAATTTTTTTTTCTATATTTATTTTAGAGAGAGAGGAAGGGAGAAGGAGAAAGAGATAGAAACACTGATGAGAGAGAACATGGATTGGCTGCCTCCTGCCTGCCCCCCACTGGGGATCTGGCCTACAACCTGGCATGTGCCCTGACCAGGAATCAAATCTGGGGCCTCTTGGTGCATGGGTCGATGCTCAAACACTGAGCCACACTGGCCGGGCATAGCTGGTGTCCTTTGATTGGATCTGTTAGTGACCTAAGTGCAGAGGAACTGACTGACGTTCACCACATCGTTTGCTCTGATGCAGGTTTTTCTATGAAACCTAAGATGGGAGTTTTATCAGCTTCTTGAGGTCAGGAAGCCTCCCCCTCACACTTCATCTGCAGTCTCTCTGGCTTTGAGTGATGTCCTCATCTCCAAGAGATGCCAAAATACCCATCAGGTCAAACTTAGCTCCATGAAAAGTGAGATTATTTAAAATTCTGAGGGTATCAGTCTGAACTAGGACATTTAAGCCAACCTTTCCAATTATATCCTATTAATAGGAAGGACAGAATTCTACTGAACTTATGCAAATAGGTCTATTGTCATGTAAACGAGAATCCTCAAGAAGACTTTAGAAAATATTTTGGAGAAGTCCAACAGCGAGAAAAATGGCCAGCGTTGCTACCAACATGGGTATCTTCCTGTCTATTCTTGTTGTCCACACAGTGTCCAGGTGCCCTCCACACGTCCTCCTGCAAGAGGGACAGGGCTCAGATTCCTGTGATCTCATCACACACTTCGGTCATCAAATGACCACTGCTCATCCTCTGAAGGACGCGGTGTCAGCCCCCTTGTGGAGATGGTGGGACTTAAACAAATCAGAGGTGGGATCTGGTGTGGAATGTGAGCTTAAGTCAGCAATAATGACAATTTTAGCTCTCATTTTTGAGCATTTATTGACTCAGTGTAACTCTTCTAAGGACTTTGACCCTCACAACAGATGTATTTAAAGGGTGCAAAAAATTATTCAGAGTTTAATAACATAGAGAAGAGGAGGGTCACTCATATTTCACATCAAGCCCTAGGGGCTCACTTTCACAGGAACTGATGGGGTTGGAGACCTCACACTGATAGTACCCAGCATCCTCCCTCCTGACGGGGTCTATGGTGAGGGTTCTGTTGCGCCAGGACAGCTTCATCCTCTCCGTGAGCCGCAGACTCTCGGCATTGAACAACCACTGGGTGGAGACTGCGTTTGTGTAGCAGGTCATGACCACGGAGTCCTTATGTTCTGTGACTGTGGTGTTGCTGGCTAGGAGGGTGGGCACTCTCACAGGCTCTGTGAAGAAACAGAGGACATGACTGATTGAGAGTGGGCTTGGGACCTGGGGCCGTCTTGCCTCCTCAGAAGTCTCAGCCTCTCACTGTCTACAGTGAGCTCTGTAAAGGTCACCAGAGGATGGTCCTGACCTCTGCAGAAGTGTCTGTTGGAACTAATAAATAAGGCAAAGTTTCGGGCGACAAAATCAACACTGAGCATTCTTACCATTTCTTGGAACAATCCCAAAATGGAATTAAGGAAACAGCTCTATTTAAAATAGCATCAGCCCTGGCCGGTTTGGCTCAGCGGTGAGAGCGTCGGCCTGTGGTCCAGAGAGACCCGGGTTTGGTTCCCGCTAAGGGCTCGTACCTTGGTTGCAGTTTGTCCCCTGCCATGGTTGGTGGTGCTGGTGGCAGCCACTTGATGTGTCCCTTTCAAGTCGATGTTTCTCTCTCTCTCTCTCTCTCTCTCTCTTCCTGTCTCTCCCTCCCACTCCATCTGAACAAAAAAATGGAAAAGTGTCATTGGGTGAGGATAAAAAAAAATAAAATAAAATAGCATCAGAAAGAATTGAAGCCCTGGCCAGTTTGGCTCAGCCGTTGAGGGTTGGCCTGCGGACCAGAGAATCCGGGGTTCGATTCCCGCTAAGGGCACGTACCACCAAAAAAAATGAATACTTAGGAATAAACTTAATAAAAAGGAAAGTATATACACTGAACACTACTAAATGCTTCTGAAAGAAGGTAAAGAAGAAACAAATAAATGAAAAGATATCCATGTCCATGGATTGGGAGACCCTCAACAAGCTACATATTTGATACAGTCCCTATAAAAAACCCAATGACTTTTTTCCAGAAATAGAAAAATCCACCCTAGAATTCATATTGCATTTCACTGGACCCCCAAATGGTTGCTATGATCTTACAAAAGAAGAATTAAATTGGAGGTCTCACACTTTCTAATTGGAAAGCTTACTACAGAGTTAGAGTAAACATATACTGTGACACTGGCATTAAAACTTCTGTTCATCAGAAGACACAACCAAATAGCATTGGCAAAGGAACCAAGACTATTCACTGGAGAAAGGACAGTCTTGTCAACAAATTGTGTTGAACAGCAATATCCACCTGCAAACAAATGAAGTGGACCACTGCTTTTACCATACACAGCTATGAAGTCAAAATGGATTGAATCCTAGAAGTAAGACCTATAACTATAAAACTCTTCGAAGAAAATATAGGAGGAAGCATTATGACATTGGATTTGGCAATGATTTCTTGAATAAGACACAGGGAACACTAAAAAAAATATTAAATTGGTATTTGTCAAAATGAAAAACTTTTGTTCATCAAAGGATATGATCAACAGAGTGAAAGATGACCTGTGGAATGGGAGAAAATAATTTGCAAACTATATATAAGACGACAGGTTATGATCCAGAATATACATACAACTCAACAACACCAACAAAACAAAATAAACTGATTTAAAAATGGGAAAAGCACTTGAATAGACATTTCTCCGGGGACGATATACAAATGGCCAATAAGCACAGGGAAAGATGCTCAACATCACTATCACTCCAAAAAATGCAAATCAAAATTCTTGATGTTGGAGTTTTGCTTGTGGTGTTGGGTGTGGGTTACTCTGCTGTGCAGGTAACAGAGAGAACACTGCCCTGCGTGGTACCTTGGATTCATCAAGTTTCTTTAATCAGAGTTGGCACCTCTTATGCCCTGGCCTGTTTGGCTCAGCGGTTAGAGCGTCGGCCTGCGGTCCAGAGAGACCCGGGTTCGGTTCTCGCTAAGGGCACGTACCTCAGTTGCAGTTTGTCCCCGGCCCTGGTTGGTCGTGTGGGTGGCAGCCACTCGATGTGTCCCTTTCACGTCGATGTTTCTCTCTCTCTCTCTCTCTTCCTCTCTCTCCCTCCCACTCTATCTGAACAAAAAACGAAAAAATGTCCTTGGGTGAGGATAAAAAAAAAAAAAAACAGAGTTGGCACCTCTTACCTCTCAGGCAACTTGAGTCCTTAAAAGAATAAGGCAGGTCTGTGTATCACAAGACACATGCATGGGCATCTGAGCGCTCAGAGAATATAAGGCCTCCAGTTTTATGTGTGGGGGAAAGTACAGACTTTCTCAGGTGTCAGTTAAGTATCAGGATTTGATTATGGAAAGACTTAAGACTGGGAGCTAGAGACCACCCCAGATTTCTCATGGTTTTTCATTGACCAATTAATTGCCTGACGGACTAGGGGCCATTCCTTCCAGCTGCACAGACCTCCATCACGCAGCTAAGGTGTGTTTCTATGAGGCACCATTGCCCAGGACATCCTAGAGACTGGGGTTGGAGCAGAAATAACACACGGGGACCAGGAGCAAGCTGGTGGTCAGTGGATTACTCAGGCCCTTGGGCCAAGAGGTTGGGCAGGTCTTTCCATGTGAGTGTGACTGACATGAGCCAGTGAGCCAATAAATCATAGAGCAGAGTTTAAAGAATGAGCTAGATGCCCTGGCCAGTTTGACTCAGTGGTTAGAGCATCAGCCTGTGGTCCAGAGAGACCCGGGTTTGGTTCCCGCTAAAGGCGCGTACCTCGGTTGCGGTTTGTCCCTGACCCTGGTTGGTCGTGTGGGTGGCAGCCACTCGATGTGTCCCTTTCACGTCGATGTTTCTCTCTCTCTCTCTCTCTCTCTCTCTCTCTCTCTCTCTCTCTCTCTCTTTCTCTCTCTCTCCCTCCCACTCTATCTGAACAAAAAAATGGAAAAATGTCCTCGGGTGAGGATTAAAAAAAAAGAATGAGCTAGAAAAGAACAGGCCAAACATCATTAAAGTCATTCTCCCTCTGCTGAGGGCAGGGGAGGACTTGAGCAGATGCAGAAGGGGTGAGGGACGGCAAGAGGGAGCATGGACTTGCTGAAATTCTGGTACCTTGTAGACCACTTGTGTTTGGTGGTTATCAGATAGAAATTCGGAAAGAATTTAAAATCTTCCATATGTAAAAATTATTATTAATAACCCAGGCCTAAGCCAATTGCAGGAAGGACTATTTCTCTGGAGAGCTGCAAAGGGTCTGAGACACGGGTCGTAGCCCCTGAAGGGACAGGAAGCTTGTCTCGTGAGGCCAGAATTCCAAGGACTGCATCCAGGTTCCAGTCTTTGAAGAGATTTTGGATCATTCATTCATCTTTCATTCATTCAATCACTATTCATTTCTTCCTAATTCATCAAAAGCAACTGGGTGTATGTTCCATGCTGGTCCTGAGCGGCTGCAGGTGTAGAGTGGGCAGTGAGCAGGCCAAGCCCTTCCCTTCATACCCAGTGGGAGTGATGCCAACACCTCAGGAAACAAACCAGTGATTTCAGGTCCAGGGCAGGGAGCTGTGGCTCGGCCACCTGAGGGGAGGCCTGGGCGCTCCAGCACTGACTCCCTGTGACTGCAGGCAATTTGGTTCCAGGGTAAAAATTGATTTATTCTTTATTTGTTATCTTGTCCCAGACCAGAATCCACCCCTCTGAACTGAGGATGATTAATAAGAAAGGATCTGAACCAATGGTTGGCCTAGGGATCTACAGACACCTAATAAGGTCCCCGGGGTGGAAGAGAAGATGGGGCTGTGGCTGCAGACGGACCTCGAGTGACTCTGATCAGCTAGTAATGGTCTGAGCGACTCTGCTTTAGTGACTGTATCTTCCTGCGCCTCAGTTTCCTCTCAGTGAAACAGGATGAATGTTTCACTGCCAAGTTGTCAGTGTATTAACCATAAAATATTCATCGTATCTAAGTTAACCTTGGGGTAGGGGAGCTGCTCAAATAAGAGGCATCTATTCTTGATCAACTCACAGAGAGAATCTGCTGGGCTGATTCCTGGTGGACGAGGAGTTGCTAAGAGCATTTTTTGTCTTCTGTTTGCTCCGGGGATGCTAACCTTTCTCTGGATTCTCCTAAATCCCCCAGAACAGTCGGCTAATGATCCGGGGATCTTGTCTGGCTGTGGTCTCCACACACAGTCTCAGGTGAAGGACCAGGCTCCATCCCTGTCCAGGTGTAGCTTTTGGAGCCTTGTGACTCGGGCACCCAGGAAACTGTTGATTTAACTCTGCCCTTCCCAGGAGGCCAAACCCAACCTGACACAGGTTCCCCGGGGCCCCTGGATTCAGAAGCATTGGGACAGGGGTCTGGAGAGGGGCTGCCAGAGCTGAGCTTCTCTAGAGGATTCCAGGGGGCTCCTCAGGTCAGGCCCTGACTGAGCCCTGCAGGGCTGTTCTCGGGGTCATGGTCATGGGGAGGGGCCCAGGGGGCTGGGCTGAGACTGGTCTCCCTCTGCTGAGTTACTGCCATCAGAGTGTGGTCCTTCTCTCTGCCGTGAATGTCTGAATCCGGGAAGAGAACTCTGATTTTAGGAAGTTTGTCTCCACCGTGTGTGTCCTGCACTAAATGCCCAAACCCACGTGATGCAGAGGGGATGGAGGCGGAGTCCAGGGCGGTCAGTGCTGCGTGTGAAGTGGAGTCCACCCCACCCCACACCACAGGTCAGAGAACAATCACTCACGGTACACATTGAGCCGTCCAAATCCAATTTCTTTTTTTGAATCATGAAGGTAGGCCACTATGGTGTAGTATCCCGCATCCTTCCGCGTGACCTTCTTCAACAGCATGGATCCGTCGTTATTTATTTTCTCCCGACCACTGTATGCGGGCCCTGTTGCATATGCTCTTAGGTCCATTGCAATGGATCCAATGTTACGATTGGATCTCGCCCCTTCCCCCCTGTACCACATAAAGCCCATCGCATCTGGAGGCTTATTGCGGATACGTAGAAGCACATCCTTCCCTTCGGCGGCGTTGGTCGACACAATAGAGAGCTGGGCAGTGGCGGGCGGGCTCCAGACAGTTAAGAGAGAGACTAGAAGAGAAAAGAGAAATTGATCAATATCTGGATCTATGGATTGAGATGGATAGACGAGACCCTTGATTCAGAGCAAGTCTCTTCATCTCTTAGCCTTGGGTGGGGTGTGTGTGTGTATGTGTCTCCGATGCTCAAGGTCAGCAGAATGGCCACCATGGCCACCTGCTATTTTATTTGTTTTTAATACTGTTCCCCATGTGTCTGCCAGGCTCACCCCTCACAGCCTCAGACCCCTGCTGACACTCAGGGGAGCCCTCGGAGACACCTTCCCTGACCACCTCCTCTACAGACCCTCTGTGTCCACTTTCTCCCCTGTCCCTGCTCTGTCCCCTTCATGGCACTGTGTGTACCTGCCACCCCATCTAGATCCCTGCTTGTCTGTCTCCTCCCCACAGAACGTGAGCTCCATGTGGGCAGGGCCTGTCAGATCCTGTCCCCCAGGGCCTGCAACAGCGGCAAACCCCTGTGGGTGAATGAATGATGTTCCCAGTCCTGCACCTCCTGGGAGTATGTCCCATGTCTGAGGCTGGTGGGGGGCACAATGTTTAGTGCCCCTGGTTAAGTTTTTTCTGGTGTCTCCTCACATCTATTGTTATAATTATCATTAGTTTTCAAAATCCAACACTCAGGGATGAATAACTTAAGAAATGACTAGCCATTGAGGTTTTCCTGCCTCCTCTCCATTTCCAGATTGTGAGATTTTGTTGTTGCTGCTGCTGAGCCCTCTCTCCCATTTATTCTGCTCTCCTGTCCCCTCCCCTCAGGTCCAGCAGCAGTCCTCTGTCCCTTCTCAGAGGGCTGTCCTCCCCAGGAGACCCGGCCAGTCTCTGTCTCCCCTCCTCCCGTCCACCCCCAGGGATTGTCCCCTCCTTACCGGCCAGCAGGAGCCCCTGCCAGGGGACACGTCCTCTGCGGGTAGGGGCTGCGGGGGTCTCCATGGTGTCTGGTGTCTGCCCTGTCCCTCCCTCTGGGAGAAGAGCTTAAGGTACAGTAAGGCTCCCAGGCACTTCGTCCAGAGTTCGGGGTCTGCTGTCCCTCCTCCCTGTGTGCTGAGCCTCCTCCTGGGGCAAGATCACTTCCCTGGTCATGTGGGCTGGGGGCGGGGTCTGTGCCCAGGACCCTCCCCTTCTCTCCCCTCTTTCCTGGCCCCCCTGTCTCCTCCTTCCAGTTTATCATCCCCCTATATTTTGGTTCCCTGGGAATTGCTGAGGCCTTTGAACACACACACACACACACACACACACACACACACACACTCACATGCTGTGTTTGGAAAAGCACTAGCCTGGGGCCTGCAGGTCCCGACATTCCCCAGGGCTCCCTGCCTGGTGCACAGTAGCCTCCCCCACAGCCCTCTCTCTGGGGCTACCTCCGGAAAGCTCTCACAGGGATGTCACCCCCTCTGTGCACTGGATCACCTGTGAAACTTTGTAAAGATTGTGATGCCCAGGTGACATCTTAAAATTGCTACTTCAGCCCTGACCAGGTAACTCACTTGGATAGTGAATGGTCCCATACAACAAAAAGTTTGCGGGTTCAATTCCCAGTCAGAGCACACACCTGGTAACTCATCAGTGTTTCTCTCTCATATTGATGGTTTCTTTCCCTCTCTCTTTCTCCCTGTCTAAAATCGATCAAAATATAACCTCGGGAGAGGATTAAAAAATGCTGCTCCAGCAGCTGCCCAGCTGAGCTGGGTGCCCAACCAGAATGAGGTCCCGCGATGTGGGGGTGGGATCCTCCCCCCTGCTGTGCACCGGGCGGGTCTGCAGATCTGGTTAAACTGCAGGATCTGCCTTGGCGGGTGTGCGGTGCACCAGGGACCCTGCACCTCACGAGCTCCCAGGGGAGGTTGGTCGCTGGCCTGTGGAGCACACTTGGGGCAGCGAGGCCGGTGGGGACCCTGCCCCCGAGGGGAGGGCCGCTCACCCCAGCATTGGCCTCTGCTGGGCCTCGGTCTTGGTCAGCACCCCACAGGGAGCCCCTGGGTCCCCCAACCTGGGGATTACTTCTGTTTGTGACACAGAAACCCAGCTGGGCACCGGGTCTTCCCCGTGTCCTCAAATGTTCTGGAAGGTTGATTTCCTCCCAGCAGGAAGGTCACAGAGACGACTCTGGGTAGAGAAGGAGTCAAGCCGGGTGATGACCGTGGAGAGGACCCTACTTCTGTCTCAGGTTGTCCTCAGCATGTGCTTTGCTTCCAGGGACGGAGACCCAGGGCCAGGGGTCTCCGAAGGACCTGCAGTTCCCGGGCGTGAAGGGGAAGGTGTCCAGGGTGTCCTGGGAAGAGAGGACTGTGGTGGGAGGCCAGGAGGCTGTGGTCTCTGGTCCTCGGGGACAGTTTTAGGGAGACCCTTCCTCTCCATGTCTGTTGGCTGAGCCCATCCATGTGCTCCCTGACTGGTGGGGCAGCCTCTGTCCTCTGCCTGGGGACTTTCCAGTGGTCACCCCACCATGGAAGGTGCCAGGCAGGGATGGGGAGCAGCACAGAGACCCTGAGAGAGCAGTGGTTCCCAGGCCCTGTCAAAGTAAGACAGTTTTCAACCTGTGGAGAATTTCTATGAGTACATTTGAGCCAAACTAAAATCATATGCCTGGAACAAGATCTCAAACCCTGTGAAGAAAGGCCTTTTTACAGCTTATTTTATACATCGTCAACAAAGGAGATGAAAATAGTTGTGTGAAATCCATTAGGAGATGAGACAGCACAGGAAGGAAATCTCCAGAATTTATAAAAGGCAAAATGGAAAAAACAAATACTTTTTTTTACATTGGTGGGTCCAGGATAATGAACATTTACAGCACACAGAGAGGTTCTACAGGGCACCAGGCAGCATGAAGGGCTCTGTGTTCTTGTGTGCTGGTCCGGGAGTCTGACGTGTCAGAGTTATGTTATCCAAGATGCATAAGAACAGGGAACTAGGTTCACTTGAGGTAAAATCTGACCTTTGTGAAGGAAGCTATCGGCCTGGGATGTGACTACCTGCCATCACCTGCCCAGGTAGGAATCAGTGATCAGACCATCCTGGGCAGTTGCTCTTGGTCCCTGAGCTTGTCAGGCCCACCATGTGGCCCCATGAGCTTGTCGGGCTTATTGCACAGCCCCCCCTTTTTGCTCCCAGCCCCTAGAAGTAGCAGGTGGGAGAGAACAGGCCCGAGGGAGGGGCCCAGAGGGCCTGCTGCAACAGGGGATAGAAATCAGACTCCTTCTCTGTCTCCTTAGCAAAAGCCAGGTTCACGTGTGATTTCCTGTGTTGTCTGTGTGTCTAGATGTCGCTCCCAGAGGGCAGGAGAAGACCTGCAACCAATGTCAGGTGCCGCCCCAGGGATGCTGACCAGACTGCAGAGGGTGGGAGCTGACCCTGAGCCCTGGACAGCGGTGGGCTCTGACCTCCAGGCTGAAAGGCCAGTCAGGCCCTGGCCCGTTTGGCTCAGCGGTTAGAGCGTTGGCCTGCGGACCAGAGAGTCCCGGGTTCAGTTCCTACTAAGGGCACGTACCTCGGTTGCAGTTTGTCCCTGGCTCCGGTTGGAGACGTGTGGGTGGCGGCCACTCGATGTGTCTCTCTCACATCGATGTTTCTCTCTCTCTTTCTCCCTCTCTCCCTCCCGCTCTATCTGAAGATAAATGCAAAAATGTCCTTGGGTGAGGATAAAATAAATAAATTAATTAATTAATTAATTTAAAAAAAATGAAAGGCCAGTCAGTCGAAGTCCTGTGACTGTGGGTCGAGGCCTCCACACTCCATCCCAGGGCAGGGGCAACCCAGGGAGAAGACAGGCATTGTCTAGGGTATTATGAGTCCAGTGTCAGGAGAACTGTCCCACCAGGAGGATGTGCTGTTTCAGGAGGAGCCCTCTGTCCCCAAGGTTTCAAAGGCATGGCCTGATGAGGTCTCCCCTGAGGCTGTCTGGAGAGGGTGTCAGTCTGGAGTGCTGATCCCCAAAATGCCCTGTGTTTCTCTTCACGGCGTTGGGGTGCTCCATCCAAGCATCGATGCCCCTGTCCGCCATGTATTCTTGGCCTCCCCGCAGGGCTCAGGAGCTGGAGCAGCTCCGTGTGAGACTTAACCAGGGGAGCCTGTTAGTTCTGTTAGGTGAAGGGAAGTCCCTGTGGGACCCTCAGCCCCTCTGAGATGGAAGCAACCATAGATCCTGGGCTCTCCTGTCCCATCCTGCATGGGAAGGTCCCCTTGGTGCTCAGGACACCATGGGCTGGTGGGATGTCTTCAGGGACCACAGACAGGTGTCCCACATACCAGGGACCTTGGGGATCAGGAGTCTTCCCCCAATTCTTTTGAGGTCAGGGAGACTTCCTCCTCTCCTGGTAGTGGCTCTGCCAGGGGTGGAGAATCCAGAGTGTCTGCCAGGTCAGGTCTCTGTGAGAAGAGGAAGGACACAGGCCCTGGGGAGATTAGAGGTCAAGTACAAGGTGGGGATGGGGACCTCTGTGATTTTAAGGGAATGAAGGAGGGTCCAACCTTGCACTGTTAGCAGGGCCTGTCCTCCCTCCTGATTGTACGAGGGGTAAAGACCCAGCCCTGGAACATCTCCGGGTCCTCGGTGGCCTCCTCCCATGCAGACACCCATGCCTTCGTGTCTATGAGGAACATGCTCCAACCTCAGGTGTCACACAGGGTGACAGGATTCTACTGTGTGGTTTCTGTCTTCCATTTATAAGGGTTTAATGAGCATCTGTGGTGTGTCAGGCCCTGGGAACTCCAGAGAGAACAGGACGTATGTGGGCTCTATGCTCAAGCAGTTTACTTTGTAACAGAGACAGGCTCTCAGAGAAATCACAGCACTAAGGAGTTCATTCGAATCCAGAGAAGGGGCGTGAAGAAAAAGTTCTGGTTCTTCCAGAGCATGTAGTTGAGTCTCAGCCTGTCTGGAGATCACAGAGAGAACTTCTGAGAAAGTGACCTCTTGGCTGAGAACTGAAGAGGTGCCTGCAGAGGGCTTTGGTGGGCAGACGCCTGGCTGGGTGGAGGAGCTGACAAAGTCCTGCGTGGGTAGGACTGTGGACTCAGTGCTGCTGGTGAGCCGAGGGTGGACACTGCTGGGCCGAGGGTGCTGCTGAGGTGGGGTCAGCGGCCACCTGGGGAGAGTCCAGGCTGTGGAGTAGCTCTGCTGCCCTCTGGTGGACAAGCAGAAATAAATGCATGTTACCTTTTTTTTTTAGGTTTCTATTTTCTATTCAACTTATACTTTAAGCAATATGGCATATGTGTATATACATTTTTAACATATTTATTTAATTATTATTATTTTTTAATCCTCACCCGAGGGCATTTTTGCATTTATCCTCAGACAGAGCTGGAGGGAGAGAGGGAAGGAGAGAGAGAGAGAAACATCGACATGAGAGAGACACATCGAGTGGCTGCCACCAACATGACCCCAACTGGGGCCAGGGACAAACTGCAACCGAGGTGTGTGTCCTTAGCAGGAACTGAACCCGGGACTCTCCGGTCAGGAGGCCGACGCACTAACTGCTGAGCCAAACTGGCCAGGGCAATTTTTAACCTATTTATTGAGTTAGAGTTGACATAGAATAAACTTAACATATTGGAAGTGTACACATCTATTTAAAAAGTGCACAAAATTTATTCAGAGTTTACTAATATCGAGGAGGGAAGGAAGATCACTCATATTTTAAAATCCAAACCAAGCCCTGGCCGGTTTGGCTCAGCGGTTAGAGCGTCGGCCTGCGGTCCGGAGAGACCCGGGTTCGGTTCCCGCTAAGGGCACGTACCTCGGTTGCAGTTTGTCCCCGGCCCTGGTTGGTCGTGCGGGTGGCAGCCACTCGATGTGTCCCTTCACATCGATGTTTCTCTCTCTCTCTCCATTGCTCTCTCTCCCTCCCACTCTATCTGTACAAAAAATGGAAAAATATCCTCGGGTGAGGATAAAAATAAATAAATAAAAAAAAATAAATCCAAACCAAGGAGCTCACTTTCACAAGGACTGATAGGGT